AAGCAAAATATGTTGGCCAGATGAGGGGTATTTTGTTCTCGAAGGAGAGTCAATATAGTCTCCTGGAAAGTCTTACCAACGAACTTAACAGAGATATGGACAGCAAAGAACCCTGTAATTCTCACGATTGTATAATCAGTCTGTAAACCTTGGTATTTGTGAGTTTTTCACAAGATGCACCACAAAACCGTGTACAATGTACCACCATGCAGACGCACAATGGACTACTATTTCGTCTTTCAATATAATTGAAAATGATATGGACGACGACAACGATAATGATGATGATGATGATGTGTATAAATGACTATGATTGAGAAACGCATGCTTCTGTCTACAAGTGAGAGTTTGTGTGTAATGTCTGTTTGATGTAGATGTAACAAAAAACTTGAAAAATAAAACAATATAAAAAAGGGAAATGTATGTCGACACAGTAAGCAGGAAAAGTTTAATGTAGTAATGTTTGTAGACAATGATTACGTCTTTATTTTACAAATCGAATGCAGATTGTTATGTGGGTCATTCTTTATTTTCAATCCGCAATATGATTATTATTTTTATGATGCATCTGACAGATTTTACCCATCCTAGAAGTGAATCAAATCCACCATTTATCGTGTTTCCGATTATGCAGGATTTCTTGCATGACTAACACAACTGGTTACCGGTTAAAACATTCATCTCCCAAAACGAATCGTATTGGTCACCAGTCTGAAGCAGTTGTATGGAGAAGTAGTGTGTGTAGACATCTGGAGCGGTTACAACCAGGACGGAAACCCTATCACTAGAGGCACAGTGGTCTAATGGTAGGACGCCGGGCTCGTGACCGACGGGTTGCGGGTTCGAGTCACAGCTCGGCACTGTGTTATGTCTTTGAACATGACAATTTACTCAGTTTGTTCCAGTCTACTCAGCTGTGAATGAGTACGTGGCTGGGCAGTGCTTGAATTGTTGAATGCTACATGTAGCCGCGAGCTTCGAAATGGCAGCTCCGTCTGTATGCTCCCCAGGGAATTGAGAAAGATATTGGCTGGTGGCAAAGGCCCTATAACCAAGGATAATAATTTCTGAAACTCTTTGGGACGACCTACGAACTAGGTTGTGATAAAGCGGTATATAAGAACCTCGAGTTATTATTGTTATTATTATTAATAATAAATATGTAACCAGAGAAAAAGCCCCACAACAAACAAACATATACTAGCTCGTAATCGTTGCTCCTATTCCATAAGTAGTACATATCGATCGTTATGAACATCTACTGCTATGATTTAATTATAGGAAATATTAACTACGTGGAACAGTAAAACCTTTGTGTGTGTTATATACCTCAGACTGAAAACGTTATTCCCATTAGACTTTATTAGATCAAAGAGAGATAACTCGAACGGAGTGTGGCTGTAAGTTACACTACACAAAGGCAGCATCATACCAAAATACTACACCAACTATGAGATGATTTTGTCACATGTATACTTCACTGTCTGGTAGATTGATATGGAATATTGACATGATTATTTTTTGTATTTATACCAGTTTGCACAGATATCAAATGTCAAGATACTGAGACTTTTTTAATGTCGACAACGACAACAAGTTGACTTTGATCACATCTCTCTGATCCATCATTCAAAAAAAAAATCAGACGCTTAAAATCTCTAACAAATACAAAACACATGCCTGTATTTCTTTACCCCGATGTCCCATAGCTGTGTCTGCAGACAAAGCATCGATCTACTATAGCACTAAGAAAAAGACGAAATACTACCTAATCGCACTTCTGTATTACAAACAAGTAATGAATCATCATGAACTACGTTGTATTGCTGGCTTTTCTAGTTCTATGGAGTATGCGACCTTCCCACTACCACCTGGGGCCTCAGTGACCAAGTGGTTAAGGCGTTTGACATTCTGCTACCACTTGACATTCTGCTACCACAGCCCTCCACCATGCCACTGGGTCGCGAGTTTCAGGCCTATGTGGGGCAGTCGCCAGGTACTGGCCGTAGGTCGGTGGTTTTTCTCCGGGAACTTCGGCTTTCATCCACCACCAAACCTGACACGTCCTTAAATGACCATTGCTGTTAAAAGGAAGTAAAACACAAACAAACCAAACCAAATGCCCCCTCCCCGTGTCGCTACCATTTAAAAAGGTCGTATTGTGACACAGTAGGCTCAAAACGTGGAATTCAAAACAAAAAAATATAATCCATTAATTAGAAGATTTTCTTTCAAGTTTAATGTGGGATCATGCCAGAACGTTTTCCTGTTCAGGAAACATATTTACAGACTTTAGTGTTAAACACATGCAAAATATTTTATTATTATTATTTAACTTTTTGTAAATCCTCGTTATCTAAACTCAAACATCATTCCCCGTTATCTTACGTTCATCTGTTCCACATCATTCATATAGAGTAACATTGTCCAGGCATACAGCTCCGGGTAAAATACACCTATTATACTACTTCCGGTATGGGATGGTGAATAGTTTAGTGTAGATGACACACCAACTTGATGTACATTTACATTATGTATTACTAAGTTATGTAGAACTGTGTCGTTTAACTTTATAATCTTAATTTTTGTAAATGTGTCGCTCCTAAAATAACAAGTCATGTCAATCCTGAGAACTGTACTATGATTTTGATACATTAATGAATAAACAAAAGAAAAGTGGAATCCCAGTTCTATGATAAGTAGAAACCAAATAATATCGAATGTTAGAAAAACAAGGACAGAGAAGCAACAGCATCCCCTCTCAACACGTGCAGTAGAACTGTATGAGTCAAACAGGCTTTTATATCAAGTTATACAATAATAACACCTCGGAATGTAAGACAATAAACATGACGTCATGCTATTGTGTCGAAATAAACAGTGACACTAGACAAAAGGTTCGCACATTCGATTTCTTTTTCTCTTTTTACGTGTGGCGCTAGAATATATTTTGGCATGGTTTAAATTGAAAACCTGTTTAAATAGAAAATCAACTGTTGTAGATTTTTAATGAGTTCAAAGGTTTTTCGGACACATCTCTCGTTTGCTCCATCTCCACAAATGTTTCCGAACACTTTAGATGTGGGTAATATATTCAATAACATCACTGAGTCATAGCTTGACAAAGGGACCAGTTGGTCTTGAAACGTTGCGATTTGTTTAATACGTACATTGTTTTTCGTAGAAAGTAAAACTTTGATATTGTGGGTTTTATATTTTTTGTCTAATATTAAATGTTGCGAATGAGTCTTACTGGGACGAAAAAGCCGTATGGGACGTGTTCATCCATGGATTCATATGGAGCTCTCCTAGAGATTTAATCAATCTCATATGAAAACAAAACGTATTTAAAATAATATTTAAATTCATGTCTATAATATTGATACTAATTAATACATAATCTGAACATTTTGACAACATCTTGTACATTCAAACAATAAACTGCACAATTCGATTATGTTAATTATAGCTCAGGAAGAAAAAATTAACAGATAAAAACTTATTCACCTATTGATTATTAATGCGTGTATGACAAATGCCGGCTCGCCCGTCGGCGTAACATAAAAACCAAGCCCCACGTAAGTTATTCTCTCGGGTTTATCTCTTACAGTCGAGCTGTTTTCTGGAATGTCAGGAGTAAGCGCGAGGATAAGATCTTAAACGTCCATCTTTGTCTGTTTATTTTTTTAATGTAACTTATGTTTTCAAACCAAACGGACGATTTGGTTTGGTTTTGCGAAGACGTCTAAAGATGAGGATTTTTGTATTTTCGCTGGCGTTTTGTCTGCTCCTTGTGTGGGTATCAGCGGGAGTAACGGCACAGTAAGTCTCTGTTTACATAAAATAATGTTTTAAAAACTTATTTGATAAAGCCATATTTAATTAATAATGTTGTTTGAACGTAAAGACAAATTATATTAGAAACACTCTTACAATTCTCCTTGTTTGTATCCCAATTGGATGTTCTGTTTTTTTGGCACCTAACTCCATTGATGAGACCTAGAAGGACCAAACAGAGGTATGATACATTGTAATTGATTTGTGTGATATATATAGTCTACGTATATATTACCAACTCGTAAAGATGAAATCACTGTGTGTGTGTTAAGTTCATCTTTGAAGCAAAGTATCTCTTTGAAATCTGAGAGTGGCGGGCGGCTACATACCAGGAAGGAACACATTCTGTTTCCTAACATTTTCAGACAAGCGTGTATTATTTTTACGGAACAATTCGATGACTTTGAATATTTCAAGTTTCACATTCCTCAGCCACTACGTTACTCCTTCCGTTAACCTACTTTTTCGGATAAAAAATCATTTTTGTCGATTTGAACACTGAATATTTAAGCACTTGAGCCATTTCGTCTCTGTCGCCTTGTTAAACTTCAAAGTTCAAAGCAGAGGTACAATGCATCGGTGTTAATCCGTGAATTTTGATCTGTTCCTTGTAAATGTTGTTGAAAATCACTTATTCATTTGCAGTGATCCTAGCATGAGAACGCAAAGAACTTCTTTGTGTAATGTAGACATTTTATCACAGGAAGATGTATAACAGTATAACACAATGATTATCTGACAGTAGAAAATAATATCAAATGTTTCAAACTTATAAAAATATTTGTCAGATCTAGCATATTTAATTGTACCAGGAGGAAGAGTGTTAATAATTTAAAATAGCCAGCACCTTATATTATCGTCTGGGATACTATGGTGTACAAACCTTTGTCAATTTTAAGGGAGAAGAGTGTCAATAATTTAAAATAGCCANTACAGGGAGAAGAGTGTCAATAATTTAAAACAGCCAGAACCTTATCGTGGGATACTATGGTGTACAAACGTTTGTCAATATTCAGGGAGAAGAGTGTCAAAAAATTAAAATAGCCAGCACCTTATCGTCTGGGATACGATGGTGTACACACGTTTGTCAATAATCCCTTAGCATATACACGGAGGTCATTATGATGTTAACCAAGTAATGCTGTCTCTTTATTTGTCAACAGAGGACCAATATGTAACACCACCATTGTTGAAGAACGGGTCAATTCCATTGTTTGTGGGCTGAAAAGGATATTCGGCGGAAATTGTAAAAAGTAAGTAAACGTTTATATTGATATTTCTACTAACACTTTTCATTGTTCGATTGCATTATCTCTATTAAACCATGATATTTTACCCCATTATGATATATTACTTAAATTATAACATGATATTGTATTTCTATTACATTATGATATATTACTTAAATTATGACATGATATTGTATTTCTAGTACATTATGATATATTACTTAAATTATAACATGATATTGTATTTCTAGTACATAATGATATATAACTTAAATTATAACATGATATCGTATTTCTAGTACATTATGATATATGACGTTATTATAACATGATATGCTTATATAACTATTATAAAACGTTTTATCTCTACAGTAACATGATATATGCCATGCCTTTGTTATTAATTATTTGTTCGATGTATGCTTATGAGGGAATGTCTCCACAAAGATGATACCAATATTGGTATGGTGCTATATTATTATCATTATACCAAGCCGTTTTTATTGAATTCCGATATCATAGTCAGTAATAAAGATACAATGTATATTTATTATACAATCCATTGTCTCCGTTATCTATATTCAAATGGTTCTCCAATATTTTACAGGATAAAAACCAAACAAGTTTGTGGTAAGTATAATTTATCTTTCATGGGGGGGAAATCAATAATACAATTGTATGTGGTATTTAAATCTTAACTCTGTACTTCATTATTCTAGAGGAAAGTATAAAATTGGACAATTGTTCCTTATTCGTTTTCCGGAGTGATATATAACTTTTTGACTTTCTAACTTAATTTTCCCCGAGAGGGTAGACATTAACAAGAAACCAACTAAAGTGGACGCCGGTGCCAAACTTTTGATGTATTCCACATACCGGAAGTACCACAGAGATCGTTTACACCTTTTTTTTAGCCAAAGTGCACGAGCAACAAACATATGTACCACTTGTTGGAATGGTCTCTTTTGCGTTCTAACATATTACATGAAGGTGTTTCGTAGTTTCCGTTGCTCTTGAAAGTCGTCCTGTATTTGAAAATTCCGTGGCGTTAGCACATCTTCCCGTTAGATATACATGTATACATCACATTTCAATCTGAAATATGGAAATGTTTGCTAGATTGTAGTTACGCTTAGAACTCAGTAAAATCCTATCGGTCGTGTTAATACATGTATAAATGTGATATACTTGTGTTCACCGTTATAAACCGTGACAGTCTTTATGTCTCAAACACTGATGTCTGAAGTCTAGCACAGCGGCGGTTTCTCGGATATACGATGTTAAATGTCAATCTTCATAATTGTAGCGATCAATGTATAAGATACACATTTTGTCAAATGTTAGATTTCTGTTTTGGGGTAATATAGCTCAGAATGATTTCTGTCGTGCAGTATAAGTACAGAATATTACACCAGATAAACTAATTCTATATAATGTCCGCTTGTTGGCCTATGTTTATTTGAGTTTTTATTTCATTGTAATCTTCTGAGTTTCAGTATACTCGTGATATAACCAATCCACGAATTCGCTGTTTCTTCTGATATAATTGGTTTAAAAAAATAATATCTATGAAGACTCGCAAGTTTAAAAACCGCAAAATATGATCAGGATAAATATTGCAAATGTTTAAACTAACGTAATAACCGGGATATGAAGTTCATATTGTCTCGTTGTCAGTTTTCCCTCCAACAACGACTACACTCCCAACAACAACCTCGACCACTACAACCTCCCCAACAACAACGTCACCAAGCCCTACGACAACCAAACCGACGACAACAGAAGCCCCGGCCACTACTACTACAGATCCGACCAGTGCTATCGACTGTTCCCTGGATACGTTCTTTCCTGACAAAGATCAAACCAAATACTTCCAGTGTCAGGGCAATATCCCAACACTCGTCACGTGTCCGGTCACCAGAAGTACCAACGGCGGACCAGACCGTGAACAAGTGTGGGACCAACACTCGCGCTCATGTATGACTACTCCCGCGGGTAAGTGATTTTATCCTTTTTCATTTTAGTGATATGGTCATTCCTTCCTTTAAGTTATTTGGCCCTTCCAACTGGTGAGTAATACTTTCCTTCAAAACTGTAAATGGCCACTCCTTCCTTTCAAGCGATATGGACTTTTATAGTGGTGCGTGATATGTTTTTCACACACAGAAGAGACATGCACTTTTCTCGATACAAACTACATTGACCAACAGTTATACCGGTAATTTGTAATAAAGACCTTATTGTTGTTTATTAATTATGATTTAATTTGTCGTTTGATGATTACGTGAGGACATGTTATTGTTTACGAGATGTTTAAGACCGTTACCTTGCTGAGAGAACTGTAGCCTCACATGAAAAGTTTACGCTACTCTTTGGGTTGTCACTTTAACGTCGGCGCAAGCCTATGCATTGCCTTTACTCTCACGGTAGAATACATTTCATTTCGTTTTAAGTATCAAACGGGGTGTTTCCTGAACGCATACATCTTTAAAACAATAGATAGAAACATCAGAGGGAGGGTAATTATAGTTGGTATCAAACATATAACACTACAATACAAAACCTCTTAAATCCTGCTAACAGTTAACGTTTTGTTTGTTTGTTTGTCTTTAAATCAGGCACGGCAAGCTGTCGCGAGCCTACAGGACGTCAGCCCGGCCTCTACTGTAACATGTACATTGACTGCCAGAACGGCGTGCTGTCTAAGATTCGGTGCGAGACTGGGTTCTTTTATAACCACGCAAAGAGGGACTGTACAATGAACTCCACATGTACCGAAGTGTAAACACTAGGTAATCGGCGATTTGTTATTTCATTAATTTTTAATGTTAGACAAGCTGGCCTTAAAAGTAGATTGTAGTCAAAGCAGACACGTCGAGTGATCTCCCATGTGACGTACATCATAGATGTCGCCACATATATATTCAGTTTCTGATTCGATGATTTATTATATATCATATGTTGTATATTGATGATTTGTTGAAGGTATCCTCGGTTTCAGAATAGAGGTATTATTACTTTGTACATATATCGATGTGTATGCTTATGACGAAGTTGTCAAGGACAATTGTTTGAGCACTAAAGCAACTGGATCACCAGTATGCTAATAGAAACCAGTCACGTGTCTACAAACACAAATCACGTGTCAAAAGAAAAACTACAAACAGGCAAGTGATCATAGAAAACAATCACGAGATGTGGTTGATTGTGTTTTTTTCAAAAACATGAACATAAAACAAATTCGAAATTGGTACAGAATGCCAAAAATGAACTACAGCTGTGTTGCCCTTCTAGGAACCACGGGTATGCTACATTGTAGAGGCCAAAAAATGTGAAAATTTGAATCTGTCTAAGTGACCGTTCAATCAGAAGGGGAATGCGTAAAACACCTAAATTATATAAAAAATAAATGTTTATAGAAATACTGTTTAACTTCAAATTAACACTGATTAATGTGTGTATATCACGAACCGTGCCATCTTTAGAAGAGGTCATTGTGGCCATCAAGTCTACGGTCATTTGTAACGTACATACGGGCATCCATCCTGTCACTGACCATGTACGACGCTGCTGAACTAGTGAGTGCATCCAAGGGTTTAACCGCATATTTCATACCCAGGAAACAGGAAATAAGTGCTATCAATGCATAAATATACCCCCCAAAAAGATTTGCGCGGCCATACTGACTACTTTGTTGTATATGGACACGTTTTACGGGAATGAAACTCTGTGTGTCTCGGTTGCTGTTTGTATTCAGCGCCATGATATTTTAACTCGAAGACTGCTGAATATATCACATGGTCCGTCCTTGTAAAGCACTCAACCACCGAGTAACGTTGGGTAATCGTCGCGGTACTATAATCACTATTCGTGTTAGGTTATGTGACCTACTCACCTGTCAGTTTCAAGCACCGGCTATGGAAAGTCGGAATCAAACTTTATTTTGTCTGTTCCTAGATGTGTCTGCTGAATTTCTGTGCAACCCTCTTTGCTTGTCTCGTTTTTAAGGTCTTTAATCTCCCTGTTTAGCTACTTTGCCGTCTCCGTCATGAAGGACTACAGTTCGCTTCTTCTCAGAGAGACTTAATATATGCAATACAAACGGGACGTAGAATTATAATGAGGGTATTATACGCAGTTATCAAATGTGTTAACAGACACTTATAATTACTGTTATTAAGAGAAAGTGTAGTGACATTTTTTCTGAAAATGACACCTTTTATGATATTTTTTAACAGTGATTTTTACCAATAGAATCCATTTAACGATATAGGTTTTCAAGAATCTCACAATATGTCTTTGATTTACTGTAATAAATATGGTGGAACGAAAAAACGTTTTTGTTTATCAAAGATAACTCCAGTATTTTGCATTAACTTCATGACGAACACCAGTAATATAAATAAAGTAATTGCAGATGCAGAATATATGAAAAGTATATAAAACCTTATTTTTCTACACGGTGTTAGCTGTTGGATGATCATGTGTATACCATGCTTAGACCTTATTAGTACATAGCGTGATCAGTTGACAGATAAAACTACTTCTATTCAGGGAAAAAATGGAAAAGAAGAAAACATGTCTTCAATAAGATTCATCAGCTTGTCATAGCTTTATAAAGAGACCAGTCGGTCTTGAAACGTTGCGACACGTTTAATATATACATTGTGTATTGATAACTTTGATATCAAGAAAACATGTCGTTTTACATTTGAAATTCAGAAAAGTAGCTATGCTCAAGTGACAGTGATACTGTAAAATCATAAATTTTCGTGGGACATTATATTTCGTTTATTTCGTGGATAACAAAAATCCACGAGAATAAATACCCACGAAAAAATATATGGTAAGTAAGGTGGGGGGAAATCAGAAATCATCGAAATACAATGTCATTGAAACAGGCTAGTATATGAAAACCACGAAATTTCAATCCCACGAAAATTGATGATTTTTCAGTATTGACTTTTGATATATCCCACTTCTACATGAATCCAGAACTCTATGTTTGTCGTTAAACAAAACACTCATTAGTATCGGTCAAGTCAACGCATTCTGTATCTCTTCCATTTCAGGTGAATATGCTGTATCGCAGAAGACGAATAAAAATATGATGATCTGGGCAGGATAATCTAAACCTAGGCAGGATAACCAGAATTCGGACAGGGTTGCCTTGATCCAGGGTTAATTTAATCCGGGCTGAATAACCTAAGTCTAGGTACACTTCAATCCGGGCTGGACAGCCTCGATCTGATAGCTAACAAAGCTGACTGATGACTCTTCTTGAGAGAGCCAATTACGAAACCGCAGTAGCTCTTTAAATTACGACCTTTTTAAAGCCCACCTTCGAGACAACTCTACTTGCGACTGCGGAAATGACTCGGAAGACTCTTCCCATTTCTTACTAAATTGTAAAAAATTTGACCAATCCCGTAATATAATGCTCCAATCCCTCGATTGGTATAACGAGATCACTGTTGAACACCTTCTCTTCGGAGATGCAAACCTTGACTACAATCTAAACATTCAAATTTGTAGGTCTGTACAACTGTTCATTTTAAGCTCCAAACGGTTTAACATGTAATACCCAATAGTCTTATTGAATAACCAGGATACCTATTTCGACTATTCTCATCTGTCTCTCCCCTCCACCTCCTCTCTTATTCCAGCCCCTCTCCCTTTTTCCAACACCAACGATCTCTGTGTACTAACTTCAATCTTAGCGTCCATCAATATCATAACCGTTTCCATATGACAAAGAGTGCGTGTTCGGTTTTCCTAATCTAGTCGGCTAAGTATGTAAGGCAGGAATTCACAAAAGGACTTGGAGTGACACAGGAGAAAGGCAAATGCGGCACGGAATGTGATTGAACTTTAGAAAAGCAGAAGGACATGTATGTATAGATTAGTTATACTGCTTACGCCGACTTGATTGGGAAAATCACGCACGCGATCTCAAGTAAACTCTCCGAATACATATTTAAAAACTATACGTTGGTGTCCCTAATCCTATCATTACCTCTTTTGCTGTTACCCATCTTTAACATCTTATATATATATACATATATGAATTGTATTAGGTTATTACGTGACTCATTAATTTTGTATATATATTTTCTGTTACGGAAAGGACGTAAGTAAGTTGCAATAACTTTTGTCCAATCCATTTGTCTTTTGTTGCAATAAAATTGATTTAAACTAAAACTCTTCTTGGATACACGTATCACGTGATACAACTGTCAGCGGAGAAATACATCCACGTGGACATCTGGCATGAAGGGAATAATACCTCAAGTATAATCTCGCTCTAAACGTCTTTTACATTCGCACTTATCTACAGTTCTACGATATTTCAGGCGAAGATTCTGTGGTCTAAATCTTAAGTAGTTTTCTTTTATATTTGATGATTAAAAAAATAGAAGTTTATAACATTTACAGATTATTAACTAGGAATATTAACAAGGACTTTATCTAGTACGTGAAATCTACGTCACTGCTAATACATATGTGAAACCTGCATCACTGATATTTTGTCGTGTAGCACCGTCATTACTGTTATATGTCACACATTCAGAGCAATCGGTATATAAAAAATACTGAATAAATAAGTTTAACTTCTGAGAACTGAAAACCCATTCAGGTTAGAGAATAATGAATTGGAAGAATTTAGAATTACTTCTGTGGTAAATGTCTATAAAATGTTACAAATTTACAGCAGCTGATTTGAAAGTTTCTCTGTATATCGTTATGTTTAATTAGTAACTACAAAATTATTTATGACACTTTCTGTATTGATTCACATGCTAGTATAACCGTTAGGGAGAATATTTATTGTACAATGTACGTATACCTTACCATATGTCTTAAAACACATTTATACATTTTTTGTGACATAAATGTAATTATCCATCGTTTTGATTTTGCTATTGTGTCATTTTGTCTCTATTAATATGAAATATATTGTGTTCTTCATTTGGAGGAAATACAGATAATAAGAGTAATAGTTACCAATTACATGAACCTTCTGGTAAGTTTTAGTATTTCGTTCCGTTTCGTTTCGATACTTCATGATTCAGAAAGTTCGAGAGTTTGGTCATTTGTAATTTGTCTTACATTATAGAAGACAAATCTGTATGTCGCTAACGAAAACTTAGATTAGCGAATAAGACGCATCGGGCTACCAGCAAATCTCAAAACTAGAATTGACTCTTGAATTTAACGAACGTGTATGATACTAACAAATACAGGGAAATATTTGCACTAATTAGATATAACGATATATTTTTTAAAGCTTTGCCGTCAAACTGTATAGTGAAAAAATCTATAAGTTTAAAAATAAACTTGGAGACGGATTACTAGTCCAATACCGTAATGACAATGCTATATACTGTGTAGTAACGACGACAAAGCAACGCGGTTTGTTCTAGTCAGTGATCGTAACTCCTTTAATTGATTTCATTAAGAGAAGTTGGCTTCGTATGCGATGGAGTAGTGAGGATAGCAAGAAACATAACTAGCTTGCTTATTGGAAGGAAACCGCATGTAGTTTTTTCATCTTAAATATACTTGCAAATGGCATACCTGCAGAATGTACGTTACCTGCAATTTGAACGCCTCATGAAGCAGTATAGGTATCGAATAAGCAGTTATAGCCAGCACTTATCGCTCTACGGGAGCTAACCCGTACAAAAGTTTTCACGAAATGAAGCTATATGAATTCTTAAGGATTCATGTGTATACCAATACTTACTGAGGCAGGTTAAACGTGTACTTAGGTATACATTTAAGAAAAAAATACTAGAATGTTTATGCATACGAAGCCCGGACCTTTTGATTTTCGTTATGCGTCCCTTTTTAGTCGGTACCTGAAAGCACTAACAGGATCGATGTTGTATCCTTATTTCCGCTAGTCCGTACATCGGTAACAAAACATACTTTCTTGTGTGTTCCATCAGTTTGACATACAGTTGACGAATAAGAATTTAAAACGTTTCGTCTCTGTATTCTTGTTTTTATTGTAACCATAACAGATCCTCGTCACTTATCACCACGGCACGAGACTTTACCGTGATTTTATTTGTAGTTAAATAGGTTATAACTGATCGACCTTTAGTATGTTAGTTTTTAGGTTGACTGTAATATATCTAAATACCTGTTTACGTTTTTTAAGAACAGTGGCTATCTTTCCGAAACTTCAGCTCAAACTATGCCCCTTTTTACACAACAACATAAAGCAGAAAAATGCTCACACAAACAGTTGCTCCGAAATAAACAACCCATGTATAAATCAATAATTGTTTGGCCTTTTTGTATTTATTCAAACTTGTTAAGTTGTCATGTAAAAGACTATCAAACCGTCGAAAATTCACGCGCACAGTCATACATGTCGGGCCTTCTTCCAAACGAAAAGACTGAGCTCAGTGTTCCGGGTGGACCCCATCAACACTTCCATGGCGCAAAGTCCATGATGTTTGCCAATGGTGTCGGGTGCTGGACCCACTCTAAGGCCTGCATCTGTGACACTAGCCAGACATCCTAACGAAGGAGGAAAAAATCTAATAAAATCAATATATTCCAGACATGTATTTCTTTACATAAGAGCTCAATCTAACAATTTAAAAAATATATCGAAATACCTTAGGCTCAGTTGTTTATTTGATAACACGTTTTATGAGGAAATAAAAAAATACATATTTTACATGTATCCCTGTATCAAGAACCACGTGTTATTTAAATTTTAAAGAGAGTGATAACATATACACAAAGAAAGCTATGTCAGGTAGCATATGCAAGTCTCATTAAGATGATTACAGACACATACATGTATATATGGTCAGGTTATGCCAGTCCTGTCCTCTGTAGTCGGAAACCTTAACCAAAGGGAGATAATTACATTATATGGTATCGCTATCTTGCGGTCGGTAATCTTACATTATCCAGTGGCGGATCCAGAGGGGTTTTTTGGGCTTCAGGAAACCCCCCACCCTGAGAATTTTCCAGATAGGTCTCTGGATCCGCCACTGATTATCGGAAGATAACTTACATAGTGTGATGTGATATTGGTGAGGAATAGGTTTAGTCCTGCCCTCTTGTAACCGGATAACACTCAGGGGAGATAACATGCATTGTGTGCTGTGCGATTGGAGAGGAATAGGACCAGTACTGTTCTCTTGTGGCCAATAATCTTACATGATCGGAAGACACTTACATTATGTGCTGTGCGATTGGAGAGGAATAGGATCAGTCCCGCCCTGTTTTAACCGGTAAACATCCAGGGGAAATAATTTACTTTATGTGCCGTGATAATGGTCGGGAATTGGATCAGTCCTGATTTCTTGTAACTGGCATCCATTCAGGGGAGATAATTACATTGGCTGATGTAATAATGGTGGGGAATTGGATCAGTCCTGCCCTCTTGTAACCGGTAAACACTCAGGGGAGATAACTTACATGGTGTGCCGTGATATTGGTGAGGAACTGAATCAGTCCGGCCTTTTTGTAGTCGGTGACCATCCATTCCGGGGTAATGACCATAGTGTACGGAGCTCTGTCCCCAAGGTAATGGTCCAAGAACCTATCAACAATACCGTTACACTAGTAAACTATATGTTATATAAACCTACATGTACAATATCAGCTGCAATATATCTATCCTTCCGACCGATAAAATGGAAAACCTTTTACGAAAATACGTTTTTTTACACTCTTCAAGTGGAGCAATCATTTTGTAGGAAGTCACCAGTCCTACCCACTAAGATCTAACACTGACTCTCNCTATTGGTTCCAACCATTGCCCAGATTCTATCACTGGCCAGAGATCATTACATACACTGTAGATATTTGTATCATATGAATACCGTGTTATGCAGAGTCATAAAGCCATCACATAAATTATGTTTATGTAACATGTGTAATATCACTCCGGAAATGACGTCACAATCGAATAGGAACAATCAATGTGACGTCATGTCATTGTGAAGCTGACACACTTTTCATCGTTGCAGAGGCGGCCAAGTGCAAAATATTCGTTTAAGATCACAATTGTACAGTTTACTTTGTATCATATGATAAACAGAATCTCTCGTTCGTTTCCCTTCATATTAGAAATTATGATACTCGTTTTGAATTTTTCATATTGATTATTGTATCAAAAATCTAATATGAAGGGAAACTAATGGCAGATCATCTATGTACCAGCCTTGCCCCCATCCCAATCACGCTCCTCCAAACATGGCCTCATACCTACAACTGACGTCTGACACCTCGTCCCCGCCCCTATCACGCTCCTCCACTCAATACCTACTACTTTCGTCTGACCAGCTTCGTCCCCACCCTATCACTCCCTACACTTCCACCCTCACACCTACAGCTGACGTCTGACCTTTCTCGTCCCCACCCCAATCACGCTCCTCCACTCACTACCTACTAGTTCCGTCTGACCAGCCTCGTCCCCACCCCATCAATACCCTACACTTCAGCCCCCAGCCATGTTACTCACGCCTCGTTTAGGATGTCAAACGCTTGACCTTCTGTTTTCACGTTTGGGCAGGCGTCCGGTACAGCACATACGGTACCGTTATACTTATAGGCGGCCAGCATCACCTGCCATTGTCCTGCGATAAGATCGTAAATAAAGATGAATAGGCAATCGAATGGAACATTGGCATCGGTAGATACAAGGCAGAAACTTCAATGTTAGAATTGATTTGCGGTCTTCTTAAAAAGTGTTAATATATGTTGCTTTAATAAGTTAGTCAAAAATTAGTTTCATTCAAACTGAATATTCATTTTTATCAGTAAATCATTTCCCCCGAAACCATAAAGACATCGCTCACCTAAAATCAACAGAAATGTATAAGGCTCATTATGGATACAATTTACTAATTAAGTTCAACAAAATCAACCTATTAGACAATAATACACGTCCAGCATGTATCAATTATTGAAGGGTGGTTTACACGTGGTCTATTGAAGGTGGTTAACACGTGGTGATTGAAGGGTGGTTCACTATGGGTGATTGAAAGGTGATTAACACGTGGTGATTGAAGGGTTAGTAACACGTGGTGATTGAAGGATGGTTAACACGTTGTGATTGAAGGGTTAGTAGCACGTGGTGATTGAAGGGTTAGTAACACGTGGTGATTGAAGGGTTAGTAACAAGTGGTGATTGAAGGGTTAGTAACATGTGGTGATTGATGGGTTAGTAACATGTGGTGATTGAATGGTGGTTAACACGTGGTGATTGAAGGGTGATTAACACGTGGTGATTGAAGGGTTCTTATTAAGTGGTGATTGAAGGGTTAGTAACACGTGGTGATTGAAGGGTTAGTAACATAGTAGCACGTGGTGATTGAAGGGTTCTTATTATGTGGTGATTGAAGGGTTAGTAACAGGTGGTGATTGAAGGGTTAGTAACGCGTGGTGATTGAAGGGTGGTTAACTCTGGGTGATTGAAGGGTGATTAACACGTGGTGATTGAAGGGTGATTAACACGTGGTGATTGAAGGATGGTCAATAAGTGGTGATTGAAGGTGGTTAACACATGGTGATTGAAGGGTTAGTAACATAGTAACACGTGGTGATTGAAGGGTGGTTAACTCTGGGTGATTGAAAGGTGATTAACACGTGGTGATTGAAGGGTTAGTAACACGTGGTGATTAAAGGGTTGTTAACACGTGGTGATTGAAGGGTTAGTAACACGTGGTGATTGAAGGGTTAGTAACATGTGGTGATTGAAGGGTTAGTAACATGTGGTGATTGAAAGGTGATTAACACGTGGTGATTGAAGGGTTAGCAACACTTGGTGATTGAAGGGTTAGGAACACGTGGTTATTGAAGGGTGGTTCACACGTGGTAATTGAAGAATGGTTAACACTTGGTGATTAAATAGTGGTTAACACGGGGTGATTGAAGGGTGGTTTACACGTTGATTTAAAAATTGATTATCACGTGGTGATTAAAGAGTTGTTAACACATGGTGATTGAAGGGGGTTTAACACGTGGTGTTTGAAGGGGGTTTAACACGTGGTGTTTGAAGAGTGGTTAACACGTGGTGATTGAAGGATTGTTAACACGTGGTGATTGAAGAATGGTTAAGACGTGGCGATTGAATGGTGGCTAACACGTGGTAAATGAAACATACTCTTTCCTGCCAAGAGTTGTAGGATAGAAAATTCCCACCTTCCTGATTTCCAAATTGTGGCAAAACCCTCAGCAAGACGACGGTTTCAGCAAGTTTAAAAATCCCTACGCTGGGATTTCCCTATCCTACACCCTGTGTACAAAAGACGGCAAACTAAACAGCGACATCTTTTTCAAAACATAAGTAACGCCAGTAAAACTGTTATTATCTGTAGTACCTGTACTTATGTGTTTGATATACACAGAGGTTTGATTGGTGGATTAAACATCCATGCTCCGGTTATAACCGAGTTCTGGGCAGGAAACAAAATCCCGCGCCACTTATAGAAAACTCAATTATTTTAACCAATCCAATGCATCGTTATACTAAAGTATGATGCTATTGAGAGCTTAAAGGGAATGGTCGGGGCAAAAATTACAAAATAAATTCTAAATGCGTTCTCTGGCCTTCCAAAAGTTATACCACGGCAATATGATGGTCGAGTTCTGCTTGCAATGTCAAGTTTTGACCACTGAAATCTCGGGGAAGCCCCGCGTAAATGTTAGCGCAGATCTATTTATATATGTCACGTGGTTGTTTCGAAAGTGAGGCAGTGAAGATAACAACAATAGCACGCCGTCATGTGCCATGTCGGACTCAACTAGCGGACAAGACAGCAATACTCTACGTAAATAATTGTTTTTAAAGTTCACGTATGATGCAAGTGTAGTATTCCTACCTTTATGTTGTTGTTATATATAACGGTATTGATACCTCGTGCCTGTCATGACTTTTGTATGCATCTTTTTTTTTCGCCGCGATGTTAACATTTGGCCTTGTTGATGACGCGCGTGCGATAAAATTACATCACTGATCTGGGTCAATTGAGAGTTTTAGACTGTCAGGTGACGATTTAGGATTTCTTTAATATAATTATAATGTTTACTCTTAGGGAGTGAATTTCAGCAAAATTTGTATCGGTATATTTCATAAGAAGGTATTTTAAACGTGTGTATGCCATTTTAGCAAATATGACATAGTCATTTATTCCCCGACCAGCCCCTGTAAAGAGCACTGTTGCTATAATAAACGACATGAACCTACCGGGAAATGCTTGGTAAACACTCTTTCCAATGTTGCACTTGAATAGCCCGTAGTCGTAATCGTAGGTAAAGGGCCACTTTAAGGTCCCGGGGGTCACATAATTTGACGTCACACAGCTGGAGTCGTACATCATACCATTATTCGCTATGCCTGTAAATATCGACATCTCCTGGTTTATCTTTTTAACTACATGCATCTACTGTTGTGGACATACTACTGTGGGAAGGGAGGTAAGCGATTCCGGAATTCCGGATAGCGTATACGCGTACACCGCTGTTCGTTTAAATATGTAATTTTATCATACCCTGATCGGGGTTACGAATATGATTTGAATAAAAAACATAGTCTCGTTCAACCAGACGCTTGATCACTTGTAATTCAAGAGTCTCTCTATTCGGCGTAGCTTGCGCAGGCAACAAGAGTCTGGTTGAACGAGACTATAAAAAACATGGAAGTCGAAGCAGCGGTTTTGTCAACAGTTTTTGGATTACCGGGATTATGAATCCCACATACATTATACTATGATAATCAAATAATCCGTAATAGATAGTTATCTTGTTATTGTCCGAGTGCATATTCTTTCTGATATTTTAAAGGGCATTATATTGACATTTTAGAGAGATAAATAAGAAGATAACTAGATCACATATGAGCAAAAATCGAACTGTAATTACCAAGAAAAGATTTCCAATTTGCCAAAACAAATTTTTAAAAAATTGTCAAGGGGTTAAATTGTTTGAGAAACAAATCTAATTGAGCGACATCAGCGTTGAAACCCCTGCATATTCAAGGAAGACACCGAATCCACAGTCTGATTAAAATAATGTCCTCCATTCTCTACGGATCACGTTAGGTGATACGTAAAGAATGAAGGATATGATTTTAATCAGATTGCCGAATCCAAAAGGAAGTAATTCGTATCAAAGAGTTGTATTTCCTCCACAAATTGGTACTTACCCAATAATCTCCATTATTCGGAGGCATTGACGCTCTTTTTAAATCAAACAATGTGGTATGTTTACGTCTACACTGTGTTAGGTGTCATGGCGCTTGTTCAGCTTGTATAGTGTTTAAGAAACAATGATATCCTTAGCTCAGAAAACCTTGGTGCCCAATATTTCACTGGTATACTGAATTATTTTCCGTTTTGCTTCCATTTTTTTTAAATAGTGGTGTCAATTATAGCACGTGCATGCTTTGTTTTGAACAATGGTGCTAAGTTTGAAATGCCCTGATAGTGAATATTTCAATTTTACTTCGTTCTGAGCCGTGGGCCTTAGCTCTTAAATCCAGCGATCCCTCATATTACACTGTTTTACTGTGTTAGGGCCATTGTGCTTCGTTAAAAAAAAATATGTGATGACTAATATTACACTTAGCTCAAAACGACATGGCTCCTGATATGTCACATGACAGTATTATTGTCTCACCTATGTATTCGTCTGTCCCTCCGAATGACAGGAAAGGGGCCCGCACACCGACGACAGTGTTGGCAGGAATTCCGGAAACACCTAGTTTAATCTTCATGTCTGTAAAATTAAACATTTCAACCTGAGTTATCCCAATATTTTCATGAACTTAAGAAAATACAAAGATCCCACAATGGAAGACATTTCTGGAAAATCGTTGGAAAATCGTGCTATAGCAAGAAAAACAAGATTGCTGTTATATGTTATAGATCAGATCTCCGCTGGGTACAGTGTACAGCCCTTTTATCTCGAAATTATTTGTGTATTTCACCTAGAAATCTCACTTAATCATATAGAAATAGATTTGATAAAGTTATATGTGTTGTCCACGTAAGACAAATAAATAACGTGTTTCTAACAATATTTTTTTTTAAATGTTGAAAAGCAATTTACGGTGAATTCCCGTGTATGCAACCTTATATCTGTACTACGGCCAACATATAATTAAAGGTACAAAAAAAACATATTGCAACGTGCGGGCGGTCCCCCACACAGCTACTGACCACGCTCGGTGGGGCTAAACTAGTGAGCGGGTCCACGGATTATGTCGAATGATTGGGACATTTAGCCAGTAAGGCAGTATTTTTCCCTCAAATTTCTTAGCCGTTACGATATCTTAAACAATGCAAAGAAAACTTTATTCATATTTCAATTGACAATGCATAAAAATCATAATACACTGTTGTTATTAACGATGATGTTAGTTTTGCGATAGGTGAGTTTAGTGATTAACATAGAGTGTAATACATCGTTCAGCTATTTTGTCACTAGCGCGAGTTATCTCCCCTCAATCATCAGTCACCTAGCTGTCATGCCATAAAAACAGTATTTTTTTCAAATATGGCTGTATAGAAACCTTGACGATTAATTACATCAAGAAGAAAAAGCTTGTTGAACTGTCATGAAAAAATGGCGATGAAATAAACAACAAAAAACAACAAGTGTTCTGAGTGAAAACAATTGCAACGGGGACCAAAATATGACCCCCCCGGACCTTCGGTCGTTGTACCAGAGACGTATACATCTCTGGTTGTACCGTCGCTTTACTAACTACTAACTATTGACCCAGTGTTGCAGTGTCAACCCAACAATTGAATTAGTTGTTTTAATTTATTGTTAATATTCTACAGTTCTTCCTTACAACAGTATATTCGCTAGGTGGTCGGGTGGTGCAGTAGATAGCTCACCTTCCTTTCACCAAGATGGCCAGGGTTCGATTCCACGATAGGACGTGGAAAGGTTTGTGGTCACCTGCGCGGCCACGAGAGTTTTCTCCGGGTACTAAGACCCCCTGCGCGCTAACATCCGGGCTAACAAGAGTGATTTATAAAAGTTGAAATAACTTGTTTCATAATTATTGTAAAATAAATAAAGTCAATATATTCGCCGGGTTTATATTTCTCTAATATTTTTCAGGTCTTTTTTATTTCAGTGAAATACCACTAAGAAAATTTAGCGACAATTTAACAGATAATGGTGCTATAACTATTCTTCCATGTGTTTCCCGACTTAAACTTACATTTTAACATGTTGATCCAGTCAGAAGAGTTCTGGGGAACCGTGTCATTGACGGAGTGTATCCCGATTTCGTGCCCCTGACTGGCATACTTGGACACTATGCTGTAATCCGTCCCTTTGTCTTCGATATAAAACGATACCCGTATGGTACAGTTGTTTGGATTTCGGAAATTTAACAAAGAATCGTACAGAGGCTTGATAGCGGAATTGAGATTGTTCTGCAACGTTAGAGTCACGATTTGAGGAGTTTGAAACGGTGAAATGTAGCCCGGTATACTACGGTCCGAGAAACACCGACAGTTAGGAAGAACACATGCCGTACTGTTACACAGATTCTGAGCCTGGACGACAAGGCTAGTAACCGCGCATACTGCCAATATATGTCCGACATACATTTTAGCTGTAATAATATTCCACCGAGTTTTCTTTATCATGGCGGCCCTGTCAGCTAGACACCGCCTTATCTATTTACCTATAAGTTAGCAACGTCAAACTGAACGACAGCAGACGGAAAAGTCAAAAAGATCAAACCCGAAGGTACAGATAAAGAAAAGAATTTTTATATTCATAATCAATTATATAATTACAGTTCGCACTTTCAGGGTAAGACACTCACTTTTTTGTGTTTCCTGATAAGGAAACACCGCGATCTACAACACGAAACATCAAAAGTAATTAACTGTATGGGACTACTGCCATAAAATTATGTTGAAATTTAAGGAAAATTTTGACAATATATCTTATTTAAAACAGTTTTCTTGATATTAAAAAGGAATCTTCTTATTTTATAATCATATTTTTCACAAGTCCAAAGGACCAGTTAGGTAAGGTGATTCATTAGTCCTTGCTGAAATCTACTAGTCAAGGACTAGCGGACTAGTCTTAGTGTCGACCCTTGACTTTTGATAATTATTTTATTAGATGAGCTATATGAATCACATATGTATGAAACATAGAAAACGGGTTAGTTGGCTCACTAGATAATTGTATCAAAACCTGATTAAAGTAATATATTATTCCAGGGGTGCAGAACACATAAGTGGGCGTAACCCCTGGAGTACGGAGGATGGTCGAAAGCACCCGGCACAGTTCCGGTCACATTATACTGACAAGGGTAAACCCATTGCTGTGATTACCTTGAATACCGAACGTTCAAAATAAAGAAGAATAGGAGCAGTTTGGTAATCAAGTATTACGACCAATGCAACTTACATGTTTGATAGAAGATATTGAAATATTTCATTGCATAAACGAAGCAAACGAATTGGGCAGAAGTTATCAAAACAGCACATGTACAAAGACCCTCTCCATTATACAATTTGTAAATCACATACTTTTGACCAAAACGAAACAGCTTCAGGCCGATGAGAGGGTTTATCGACTTCCTTAAATGCATGGTTAATAGGGAAGTCGATAAACCCTCTAATCGGTCTGAAGCTGTTTCGCTCTGTAACTCTACCGTGCTGTTTATTTGGCTCGGAATTGTGGTTTTCATTAAGTGTGAAGGATTGGTCACGGGTTGAAATAATTCAACATTTTTGTGCCAAAGTCATTCAATGTTTTCCCTTCAGAACACGTTCTGACATGGCACTTGGTATGTTGGGACTAACGTCACTGAAGGCGAAAGTAGAACAGTCTAAACTTCAATTCTTTGGTTCTTTGTGTCGTCTGAGATCTTCAGCTACTGTAAAACAGCTATTCTTATTACGGTTGTACCAGAGACACCTACGTGTTTATAAAAGTACTAAAGGTGCCATTTACGACATCTGGTTCATTATTTTAAAATACGGTCTGGAAGATTTCTTGAACTATTTCTTGGAAGAAGCTTTTTCCCCTTCCAAACAATCGTGGATTTTTTTTTTGTTAAAAATGCTATTTGTTCAAAAGAACAATCAGAATGGTATGAGCGACTGAACAATTGTGACGATTTTTGTCGATTCCTATGTTTGCATGGAACACTTCGTCCGTCGTCTCTTTGGTTTCTGTGGAAACAGTTATTTCCTTTTCAATCTAATATTTGCAGTGGGAGTAGCGAATTTGTGGTTAATCAGCCCATACTGTGAGCTGTTATGTGCTAAATGTAAAACAATGTCTCAGGATGCTCTGGCTCGTTGGTTACTTGATTGTAGACATCCATTTGGTTACCTTCCGTGACGATTTTTTTTACTGATATTGTAAACAATTATCCGGTTGAGTTGTACGTCAAACTTGACAGTTTAGATAGACAAGAAATTCTTTGTATCCTATTAGGGCACATTCCTGATAATATACGGAAACTATTCCCGGATGATGAGTGCTGCACTAGGTTTGCATACGAGTGCTGTTGCTTTTCTGTCAAAGCTGCTGATATACAATCAAATTGAATTTGTCTCAAACATGTATTTGTATTTTTTTTATTTTATTTTTCCTGTTTCATGTATTTTTTCTCATTGACGCCTTGATCTAGTACGAACAATATATGTCATTTATGTAACCTTTGCTATGCCTACACTTTATTGATATCTACTATTTTTTCTAATTATTTGTCAAAATATTATTACATTTTCTTATGTACTCTTCATTTATGGAGGAATAAAGTCAAAGAAGAAGAAGAAGAAGAAGAAGAAGAAGAAGAAGAAGTAGAAGAAGAAGAAGAAGAAGTAGAAGAAGAAGAAGAAGAATTGGGCAGAAGTTATCAAAACAGCACATGTACAAAGACCCTCTCCATTATATGTTACTAAACATTCGTAGTAGCTATTTTTATCGACATAATGTCTACCAGTTTTTCTGATTTTTGTTTTGTTTTGTTTTGTTGTTTAGTCGCAGTAATCATTTCACGGTCACAGCTGAGCGGAACCAAGATCAAGACTTTTACATATGTACATGTAGCTGTCTCATTACGCTCTATAATATATAGAGAATATAACATGGTAAAATCCATATCACATGCCATTTCAGCCCGAGGACCCAATATCAGACCGAGGGCTTTAGCCTGAGGTCTGAGGTTGGTCGAGGGCTGATATAACATGTGATATGGATTTCACCATGCTTTATTCTGTTTATCATGTACTTGAACATAAATTTTGGGCGATCATTTTTTTTTCAATTATCAATTACGAACTTCAATTTCAAGCAATTGTTCACCAAATATTATCGTTAGAAAATGTATATTAGAAAAAAAAAGTGAAATAAATGCCAATTTTAGTGTGTCGGTTGAGAAATCGCACAGAAACAATACAAATTGAATCATTAATAACGCGAATGCGTTTTCTTTTATTATTATTACCATAGTTTAACACCACATCACCATCCTATTTGCCAACGAGTTCAAAATCATCTCACCTTGAGCCGAACGCGATATTTTTTCATAGAATCTCGTCTGCTGCGCACGCATAGAAACGGCACGATAACTCCAGATGTGTTCCGGAACTAATAGTCACGAGGTGTTCCGAAAATCCTAATATGCATTTTCCGACCGGCCAGTCTGATACGTGATATGCATTTTCCGACCGACCGGTCTGATATGGATCACGTGATTTTAGTCGTATCATATAGGGCGGAAATTGCATATTTAGTAGTAAGTATGTGATAAAGTTCAGACGTTATATGTTTTTTTTATCAGCTCTCGATGAAAAGAAACTCAACTCATCCTCTTGATGGTTATTGTAAAAATGGTAGAAGGCCTTCGAAGTCTAAAAAAGTTGCCCTTGTTTTCCTTCGCGATGCATAAGCCACATTTCTGTGTTACAATGTTAATGGGTATAGCTTTACCTTAGTATTTAATGTTAATGGGTATACCTTTACCTTAGTATTTAATGTTAATGGGTATAGCTTTACATTAGTATTCAGTGTTAATGGGTATAGCTTTACCTTAGTATTTAATGTTAATGGGTATACCTTTACCTTAGTATTTAATGTTAATGGGTATAGCTTTACATTAGTATTCAGTGTTAATGGGTATAGCTTTACCTTAGTATTTAATGTTAATGGGTATAGCTTTACATTAGTATTCAGTGTTAATGGGTATAGCTTTACCTTAGTATTTAATGTTAATGGGTATAGCTTTACCTTAGTATTCAGTGTTAATGGGTATAGCTTTACCTTAGTATTTAATGTTAATGGGTATAGCTTTACCCTAGTATTTAATGTTAATGGGTATAGCTTTACCTTTGTATTTAATGTTAATGGGTATAGCTTTACCTTTGTATTTAATGTTAATGGGTATAGCTTTACCTTAGTATTCAGTGTTAATGGGTATAGCTTTACCTTAGTATTTAATGTTAATGTGTATAGCTTTACCTTTATAGTTAATGTTAATCAAGGGCATGTCACTATATTGTTCTGTTGGCGATAGACTCCACATTTTGATCGTCCATTATAAAATGATTCCGAATAACGATATTAGTTATTGTTGGAAGTAAGGAGAAACGTCCAGAAAATGTTTGGTGGTGCGTTACAGAGAGTATTTAAAACGAAAGTTCTTCACTTCGAGATCAACATTTTCCCGGTAATTGACTTCAAATCAGCATGAAATCCGTCTATTTCTCATGGCAGCGTAGGACACAGCCGGTCGCCTGGTCGCCGAAGGCGACCAAAACCATGATTGGGCGACTAGAAATTGTCAAAAGATGAATAGTTACTAGCCCAAAAATAAATCATGGGGCGAGTACATTATTATTCTCAAAATCGTAGTTTACTCCCATAAATTAACCACCCCATCTTCGGAACACTCATTTTCGGAAATCCTGTACTCTGGGTCCCGCCGTTAAAATTAACGTGCAAGTGCATCAGAATTGACACAGACAGTCAACATGGCGGAAACAAACAAGGTCTGGGGAGTTAAGTAAGTTAACGTATGTATTTTTATAAGTCGTAAGTTTTCTTCGCTGTAAGTTACTATTTATTGGAATTATGGTTGACCGAGTCAGATCTGGTCAGCCAATCAGTGTTGGCATGTGCAGTGCCGTGGGGGTGCGATGGTACGCGGGTAGGAACGTCACTTTTCTAGCCGTCTTCTGCTTTAAAATCTCATCTTGACAAGCAACATACTTAGAAAACGCCTATCTATTACAACGATGGTACCAGCAAGGGCCAAATATATCACGCACGACTACGAATGGAGTGTAGCTCCTTAAATGGTCATTTATTTGCTAGAAATATTGCTCCATCTCCGGTGAAGTCGAAGACAAAAACATTTTTATTGGAATATAACAGATACGATCAAATAAGGATACGCTAGCTACAATGTTTGTCCCATAATATTACTTTGGAGTTATTATTATTTGGCGATGATTCGTTTTTATTGGCTGATAATAAGTTAGTATTTCTAGCTGTACAGAATTATATACTTAAAACTGGCAGATTTTCTATAGCTGAATAATATGACATGTAAACTTGTACAATATATATCTTACCCCAACCACCTTACTCTAAGGAAGTTTAAGCTATTGTTATTTCCATTAATTATTGGTATATATGTATGCGTGTGTTGTGTGTATGAATGGTGTTATCATGTA